ATTCGTAAAATTTGTACATTGCTTTTCACTCCCTTACGTTTTTCATACCTCAAATTTCAACTTTTCCTTGAGATCTAATGCCTTACTCCAGGCACTGGATTTCTGCTTATGTTAAGATAGGCTAGGATGTGCTTCAGTTAAAAATTAAATCTGAAACCTCAGTGGCTTAACACGACAAGGTTTTATTCTTGCTCAAACCACATGTCCCATATGAGTCAACTTGAAGTGTGAAGAGAAGCTCTGTTTCACAGTCATCAGAGACCCAGACTAACATTGCTGCCACTGAGTCAGGGGAAGAGAAATTGGAGAATCACATAATCGTTTTACTGCCTCAACTCAGAAATAATCATATGTCCCAAGACTATGAGTCTATTTCTTTCCTGATATATTTTATATGCTCACTTCCTAGTGTATATATCTAGTTTTTGCCTTTTCATGATCTGTAATCATCCATTAATACTTTTACTTGTGTATCCTTTGGTTTCCTTGAACTCCATATTTGGCTTCATAATCTTCTTCCTCAAGCATCTTTTTTTCCTTTAATTTCTAATTTGTTAGCCAATGCTCCTAGTCAACCAACTCAAAAACTTAGACTTGCTTTAAATCCATCTCTCTCTCTCTCTCTCTCTCTCTCTCTCTCTCTCTCTCTCTCTCTCTCTTTCTGCCATTCCTCACAGCCGTAAGTTCTAGTGGTAGCTGCCTTGGCATGATCTCTTTTCTGTCTTCACTCTCCATTCCCATTGTGGTCTGGTCTGGTCTTCTTCACTGTTTCTTGATGCTTAGGCTACTGAAATAGCCTTCTTAAGGCAGCCAATGAAATCTTTGTATAACTACCAGAGTAATCCCTTTTAGCATTTTGCTTACATTCACAAAACTCTCCATCTCTTTATTGATATTGAAATCTAATTTTCTCTGCTCTTCTTTCATGGCTTTTCCTAAATGGTTTAATACCCTAATTGGGACCTATTTCTGAACATATATCCCCTCTTTTCACCAGGCTGGTCAGTTTTCTATTTTACAAAGATACTTGTCACTTCTTACTTTGGACTTCCTCATCTCAATTCCAGCTGCTCAAAGCCAAAGCCATCCCTTTATGCCTAGCCTAAGTCTATCTTTTCTCAGAGTCTTCCCTGCCCGCTATTCAGTTCATGGATGCTTTTCTGCTGTCAGTTACTCAAGTCCTAGTTTAGCACAAGGTTAGCATCAAATCGCTGGTTATTTTGAATTCACTCATTCATTCATTTGTTTTCTCACACAGTCAGTGTTAATGGACTGACTGTGAGAAAACATGTACACTGATGTATATGTAGCAGCTAATGAAACAAAGATGTTTCAGCCGTCACAGAGATTACTATGTAATTGGGCAGGCAGGCATTACCGCATTGGTCGTAACAACACAAATATGTAACTGTAAATGACTATTATGGGCATCAAGGAAACCTGCTGGGTACTCTCAGAGAGAATCACTGGAAGAACTAATTTGGAGAAGCCGGAGCGTATAGTGCTAGGTGCAAAGACCCTGACAGAAGGTGCATGAGTTCAAATCGTAGCCTCACCACTGGTTCGTTGTGAGATCCTGAGTAAGTTGTTTAACCTTTTCAGGCTGCAGTTTCCTTAGCTACATCACAGGAGTGATAATTGCACCCACCTATGCAGACTGTTTGGGTTAGCTTGCACGAAGTCCATTTATTTCCAACTCCATCTCTCTGACTTGTTTCTACCATGGCTAGGACTAAAGCACAATACTCAACCTCAAGCCTTCCTTGCAGTGGAGGCTTTAAGATCATGTAACAGTCTGGTCCTGGATGGAAATACCAGGGATGTCTAAGAAAGCCTTTGCTTTCCCGATGTGAAATAGTGATAAAGATGTGCTGGTTTTCTGTGACGATCAGTGTGCGATGGCTAAGGTCATGCCTGTGGTTTGTCACTCTCCAGTGGAGTCTTACAGGAAAAATCCATGATCTGAGGTCCTTTAAGTACACTTTTTATTATCACAGTGTGGAAATGCCTAACCATGAGAGATAGTGAGCTGATTCCGAGCTCTGTGTGCCTACAGAGTTCTCTCTGTCTGCCTCCCCATCAATGCCCCTCTGCATGCACTGTGCCAAGAGATGGTGCAGCACTTTATCCTCAGGCTGAGCTGCTAAGCCCATGAGCCCACGCTGAGCCCAGATGAAGGTGCTAATGCTTGAGCATCCGCTCTCTGACATTTTCTCGATAAGCCCATACAGAAAATTGAAAAAAACACTGAAATAGTTTAAATACATGATAATCACTAACATCTTCAGGAGGAAGCAAGAGAAATCTTTTGTGGCATTCCCACATTGGCATGATCCTAGCTGTGTACTTTTAACTCAAATATGGCATTGGGCCATGGTATAAACTGCAGAAATTAAAGAAGCTCTTGCCCTAGGCAAAATGGTTTCAGGCCTTTGCATGCCCTTTCTAGTGCCTCTTGTTTCCTGTCTTCCACCCGTTAGCTCACAGTGACTTCTGGCTGTCCCAATAGCCCCCACTGTCACCAGCCTGGGCCTGTCCTGTTCAGCAATGCCCAGTGCCCTCAAATTGACTTTGTTCACAAGGTTCACCCAAACAGGGCTTCAGTTCCTCTCAGTTCCTTGGCTAGAGTTAATCTGTTAAACAAAATAGTGCTCAGGTATTGGTTAGATTATAGCAAAAAGCATTGCAGAGTCAAATAATTTATTTGTGAGTTAATAAGAACTCCCATAAAAAATCTGAAGGAATCAGATTGGATACAAATAACATTTGTTGAATACCCATTATGAGCTAGCACCCAATAATGCTTGGGTATTATTACCTGCAAGGAGGCTTTGTATATGTCTATGTAATCTTCTCAACCAAATGACATGGGTATTATTATCACTCAGGTACAAATGATGAAGTAGGAAAGTTATAGAGCTTCCATTTAGCTAAGGAGTTTCAACCCCCAGTCCGGTGGTATTTCTGTGTTGAAGGTGAAGCGCAGCCTAATGGGTAAGAGAGAAATCTGGAGCTGTCAGCCCAGTTTTGATACTGGCTTTGCTGCTGATTAACTGTGTGGCCTGGGACAACTTATTTAATATCTTTGTGTCCTGTTTTCCTCAACTGTAAAATGAAGATAATAATCATTCCTAGCCCATAGGATAATTATGTGAGGATCTAACAAGGTGTTGTCCATAAAGGGATTAGTATCTGGTACCTGGTAAATGATCATCAGTGTGTTGATTATTACTCTGGGCAATAAGCTCCTAGTGACTGGGCATTTTTGGATCTCTAACACAATATCACACATAAAACTGTCTACCAGGCAATGCCTGTATGTAGCTCTTCAAGAGATATGAGAACATGTTGCTAAAGGGCTTTGTAGAATATTTTCCAAGTGGACTCATTATTCTCAGTATATGTGGGATGTTTTAGTTACGATATTCAGTGTAGGCCAGGAGAGAGAAGTATCACTTTTAAATAATTGTTTAGCCATGAGTCTATGACTTCAGCTAGTCAATTAGCTTGTTTTCCACAAGTGTTCCAGGACCTTCCAGAAAAACTTATGTGTCCCTTCCTGAGGTAACCATCTTGGCCTATTACACACTGACGTTCACGGGAAGTTTTAAACCCATCCTATGTGGTTAAAATACAGCTGCATTGATCTTACATACATCACTTTCATGGCACAGACCTCTAACTCAGGGTATAAATATCTATCCTGCTAATGTGCTTTGTGTGCAGTGTTAGAACTTAGCAGGGGGCTGGGAAGGCCTGGTGCATATTTCCTAGCTTGCGGTGGTGTCCACAATATTTTGTTGCTGACGTGATCTAGGATGATACCAAAGCTAACATTATCATAGTAAATCAAGCTCCCTAACTTTAACCTAAAAGGTACCCTCTCTTCACTTACATGTCTATCTGCAGACACATGAGGTCGTGAAGGCATTGTTGCAGCCAGGCAGCATTGCAGAGAAGACCCCTATGATCTGCACCTCACAAATCCTACATCTATCAGCAAGTTTGAGTTTGATTCAATCCAACAACATCCATCAGAGAGCTTTGCCCTGGAGGTTCTGGTTCTAAAAACAAAGTGATATAAATAGTGATACCATAACCCATTCATTGTTCTAATTAGAAGTAATACAAAGAGCAATGATATAGGTTTGAAAGGGAACATGATGCTATCAGGCTAAGCAGTCCAATCAGGCTATACATACATTGTCTCACTGAAGATCTGCACAATACAGGAAGGTGGGCATTGCTTTCATGCCTTCTTAGAAGAGTAAATGGATACTCAGAAGGTTAGGTCATTGGCCAAAGGTCACAGAGCTAATAAACCAGTGAGCCAAGATTCAAGTTCTCACAAACTGACTATGCAACACAAATTCTTAAACCCTCTATGCTATTGATCTTTTATTTGACTTCAGCTTTTGCTCTGTACTGTGGAAGACACTACTTTTCTCATTGTCACTTTTGCTTACCTCTTTTCGTCCCATAACAATCGGGAGAACAATAATAGTTGTTACTACTCTTATTTTAAATTGAGTAGACTGAAGCATAAAACATTGAGTAATTTGCCTAAATCAGAAAGTTAAGACAAGAGCTAGAGTTTTAGTCAATCTAATCCTAACTCTAAAGATATATATATATATTTATATATAAAAACATTATCAGATTTTTATGTTTTATATATTATATATTCTTTATAAAAATGCTATTTTATTAATATATATTTACATAAAAATTTGTATTTTATAAAAACTATGTATTTATATCCTTAATATTAAATATATAAATTTTAGTGACAAGAATGTCATTATTATATTTATAAAACAATACCAGTTTGTATTTGTCATCTCTGTTTACTTTTTGCGGGTCCCCCTCCAAATTTTGTTGGGTGGCCCTTCATCTCCAGCTAAGAAGGACTCTCACTGAGAAATCTAATCCAATAATTTATTCCGTGGTGTTATAATTAATAAATATCAAGAGTCAGACTTTACAAAAAGAATGCATACCTGCTGATGAGATTCCAGGCACTCAAAATTATTTTGGACTGGAAACTCTTCTTGCTCCACCTCAAAAAAGTATAGAAATACCCTGCTTAATTCTCAGTCTTTACTACCATAATCATCCCATGACTTGACTCAGACTCAGCCCACCCCAATCTCTAACTCCTCGACTGTGGTCGCTTCTATGGCTCTGATCTGGTGCCTACCTGCCCCTCAGAAACAGGCACCCCCGCAAAACCACACAACATGCATATGCCTAAACTACCGAATTCTTCTTGTCTAGACTTTGAAACTTCCATACTCTAGAAACTTCTACTCTATTACCAATGAACAAAGTGCAGACAAGAAGCTGAACCCTGCTGTGTGGTGCATTTGTTCCCTATGCTGTGTGACAAATTATTACAATCTTATCAGCTTGAAACAATACACATTTCTTACGGTACAGTGCTTGTAGATTGGAAGTTTAGGCACAGCTTAGTTAGGTGCTCAGTATCAGAGTCTTCCTAGGCTTTAAGCTAGGTATCAACCTGCCGTGTTCTCCTTACAGACACATCAGGGGAAAGACCTGCTTAATTAAATACATTGCTCTCTCAAATTATTGGCAGAATTAATCTCCTTGTATTCTAGGAATGAGATCGCAGTTTTCTTACTGGCTATTGGCTGGGGCAACCTCAGTTCCTAGAGAGATCTCTAGCTTTTTGTCATGTAATCTTCTGCCTAGGTCCCTTCTCAACATGGCAGTTAACATCTTCAAAGCCAGCAAGGAAGAATATTTTGCTCCAATCTATTTGGACAGAGTCCAGTGTACTGTAACATAATTAGGAGAATGCCATCCCATCACCTTTGCCATACTGTATTGGTTAGAAGCAAGGCACGGGTTCTGTCTGGATTCAAGGGGAAAGGGTTATATAAGGGCATGACTCATTGTGGGGGTCATCTTAGGGTGTTACTGGCACACCTGGTAAGAGTTTTCTTCAATACCTAAAACTATTCATGTGAACTTCTTGGAACTGTTACTCTGAGATCTCCATTTTCCCTCTTTGTAATCTGCCCATTTGATGGCTAAGTTGGAATAAGCACAGGCCAGATAGGCAAGAGGATGAGGAAATGATCTCTACTGGGAGCTAAGCATTACTAAATTAGTTATAAATATGAAGCAGGTAAACGTTAATTTTTACATGTGATTTCTTATATGACAATTGAAATATAATGAGAACTCTCACTGAAATGAGAATTTTTGAAAGTGAACTTTTCATCTATTCAGACCCATGCCTTAAAATTTCAATGCACACCTCAGAGTGGCAAGTGGTAACTCTTCTGCCCTGAGTAACAGCCTCTTAACTGGCCCCTGGTATCAAGTGAAATTCTGAAACCAAGCAATGCTTGACTGACTACAATTTGTCATTATTAACTGTTTTATCTGAGTACGTTTTAAGCCATTTTATTGGCCCTTCAAATATTTGTCTCTTGTACAACACTGTTATTCTAGGGTTATCCTGATAAAATGTCATTTTACATTAGGTGCATGTTGTGATTTTCTTATTCTGAAGATTAAATATTTTTGTTAACAGACGAGTTTTCTCCAGTCCCCTAAATAAATATTTAATAAAGATTTAAATACATTGCTTTCAGGGGGCATCAAACTCTCACTCTTACTAGGACATTTATAAGTTTCCATAATGCCATGCCTGTTAGGAACTACTTTTCCTAGTTACTCAATTTTTTTTCTTTGAATTTCTACAAACTTTAATCTGATGCTGGGCCATAAACTAAATTTATTTTTATTATTTTATTTTACTTCATTTGAGATTCAGACAGTGCACGTGCAGGTCTGTTACATGGGCGTACTGCATAATGGTGGGGATTGGGCTTCTAGTGTACCCATAATACAAATAGTTATTCAGTTTTTCTTTTTTCTTTTCTTTTTTTTTTGAGATGAAGTCTAGCTCTGCTGCCCAAGCTGGAGTCCAATGGTCAGATGTCAGCTCACTGCAACCGCTGCCTCCCAGCTTCAAACAATTCTCCTGCCATAGCCTCCTGAGCAGCTGAGATTACAGGTGCACACCACCACACCTGGCTAATTTCTTTGTAATTTTAGTAGAGACGGGTTTCACCATGTTGGCCAGGCTGATAAAGAACTCCTGACCGCAAGTGATCTGCCTGCCTTGGCCTCCCAGGTGCTGGGATTGCAGGCATGATCCACTATGCCTGGTCGAGTTATTCAGTTTCTTATTACCATTGCTTGCTTAAGTTTTCACATGTTGGTTATTGTACCCCTCTCGTCCCTATACTATCTACTTCTCTGTTCCCTTAACTTGCCTCACCTACTTGCAGGTTTAGCTCAAGAGACCTGTCACCTCTTTGCCCATGCTCTTGTTCTGACCTGTGATTGGAAGTGTGATGGTGATTGGCAAGCACATCTTGATTTGACATTTCATAGTGCACTACCATTTAGAGGCACTTTAGCGTGTTTTATCTCTTTTGCTTTCCACAATAACTCTGTGAGATAGTGTGTTTTCAAACCTTTCCTATGATAGATGTCATTTAGATGGGAAGAGAGAGTTCATATGCTTTGTAATTAACTTTAAGTCTTTTAATGGAGCAGCAGAGAGCCCTAGAACTGGCCACTCTGTGATTTAACTTTTCTGATGTTAAACTGACCTAAATCTTTGGTAATATCAGTAAGTCCAAACTTGTCACAGGTTGAGGAATATAGACTCAAAGAAACCACATCTTGATCCCATCTAATCACACTGAAACTCATCTCTGTTCATCTTAGCAAGATTGGTAAGAAATGATTTTTAAAATTTTTATTTTCACATGACATTAATGACAAGATAATTTTAAAAAATGAATAAAAATGTGTATAGATACCAAGTTTACAATCTCTTACATTCTGCCAAAGTAGTAAACTGGATACTAGAAATGCAGCTAAAACTGATAAAAGATGGAGTTAGACTTAGAATGGCAAAAATATAGATCAGCTGAAGCAAGTCATTAGAAAAGAGGAGGCTAAGCAAATTCGACTTGCCCAGACCTGTCAGGCTGTCAGAAGTACTTTTTCCTTCTAGATATGATATAATGTGATGCATACAGAATGAATGAATTTGGGTTTTCAGTCCTGCAAAGTCTCCTTTATTCTCTCTCTCTCTCTCTCTCGCGCTCTCTCTCTCTCTCTCTCTCTCTCACACACACACACACACACACACACACAACACACACACACAGTCGCTTACATATTAAGATTTTATGTAATTCAAAAAAACATTATTATCAGAATAAAGATACAATTCACTCAAACCTGAGGCTCTATTAATTAAATTCTTCAACATTTTTCATTGTCAAATGTTATATGGTTATTTTCTATGTTTTATATTCTATGGTAGATGCTATTGAGTGAATGAATAAGCAAATGTCCTAGCTCTCAGCTATACAAATATATTTCCTTTCTTTATATACTTATTCTATAAGCTTTTTTCTATTACTATTATTTTTATTTTTTAAACTTTTTGGTTAAAAATGAAGACACACATACATGAGCCTACGCCTACACAGGTTCAGGATCATCAATATCACTGTCTTCCACCTTCACATCTTGCCCCACTGGGAGGTCATATATGGAGCTGTCATCTCCTATGACAACAATTCCTTACCTTCTTCTGGAATCCCTAACTCCTGGGAAACCTGCCTGAGGCTATTTATAGGTAACTTAAAACAATACATATATATCTTATAAAATATATTTATATAAATATTTTTATATTATATTTATAAAAATGTATATTTTTATATTTATGTGTAGAGAAATAACACTTTTTTTTTGAGACAGAGTTCAATCTTGTCACCCAGGCTGGAGGGTAGAGGTGCAATCTCGGCTCACTGCAATCTACCTCTGCCTCCCGGGTTCAAGAGATTCTCATGCCTCAGCTTCCTGAGTAGCTGGGATTACAGGCACCCACCACCACACCTGGCTAATTTTTGTACTTTTAGTAGAGACAAGGTTTCGCCATGTTGGCCACGCTTGCCTTGAACTCCTGACCTCAGGTGATCTGCCCATCTCGGCCTCCCAAAGAAATGGAATTACAAGCGTGAGCCACTGCCAGAAAGAATACATTCTAAAATAACAATAAAAAGAATAGTGAATACATAAGCTAGCAACATGGTCATTTATTATCATTATCAAGTATTATTTACTGCACATAATTGTATGTGCTAGACTTTTATAAGATTGGTAGCACAGTAGGTTTGTTTAGCCAGCCTCACTAAAAGCACGTGAGTAATGTGTTATCCTACTGCATTACAAGGGCTATGACATCACTAGGCAATAGGAATTTTCCAGCTACATTAAAATCTTATGGGAGCACCATTGTATATGCTGTTCATTGTTGACCAAAACATCATTATATGGTGTGTGACTGTGTCTCTATGGATTTACAGTTAACCATTCATTCTCTTTTCAATTCCATGCATTCCCATGGCAATCTTTTCAATGCTCCCTGCATCCATCGCTACCTGAATGCTGATGACTGCAAATCAGTATCTCCATTCCAAGCTTGTTTCCTTCTGTCTTTACACTTTTAAATATTTTTGGCTCCCTCCTATTAATTGCTATCAGGATGTCCCATAGAAAAATTCATGCATTTGAGCCACAATTATAACCTTTCTCTTTAACTCTTGCTCTTTTTCACATACATACCAAAAACCTGTATATAACTAGAAAGTTCTACATTTTTTGCCAGTGTCTAATCTCTTACATCCATCTAGATATTATAGATGTTCTTCATTTACAATCTCTTAGTTTATCATCTCTTCCCTAGTCCCAGCACTGCTGCCCTATTTCAGGTCTTTGTCATCTCTCTTTTGTGCATTATTTTAAGTGTTTCCTCATTGAGCTTTTTTTCCCCATGGTTTCTCCATTCAAGTCTATTTTCCATATTGTTGCAGGATGTTTTTATCTTTTAAAGAAAACCATATAATTTTACCGCCATGCTTCAGATTTACTGATTATACAATAAATCAGTATCATCTACGCATGCCATCTGAGGTCTTCTATGATTTGACCTTTC